TAATTGCGTATGCCCTTCTTGAATAATATACCTGGTGTTCATTGCTCCAGTACCAACATTTGTGTTTATTACATTGTCATTTAGAAAAAAATATAAAATAAAATGTCATCACTGAAACAGATATTCAGCAGAAGATTGGGGTTGGCGTTAACTTGATCAGACATGGTTTTACAAAACTCTATTCTTTTATCAAAATCATCTTCGTAGAGCTCTTGAAGTAACTGCATTTTACAGGAATGAAATGTATGCATTTTCAGTGCTCTTCTTACAGTCTCGCGTGATATTCCCATCTGTTCTGCTACTATTCGTATGGAGCTAGTTGACACGGTAACAAATGTTCCCAAAACCTCAATTAGAGCTTCTTCATTTAGTACTCGTCGGTTCTTTTCCTATTTTTCACCGAACCAGTTTCCAAAAATTTTGCTACCAAATCGAGAGTATAAATATGACTTACATTACAATTAGGATGCCTTTCATTTAAATGCTGCCCTTCGTGCGCATTTTCCAACCTCTTCATAAAGGATAATTATTTCGATTCTTTCCTGTAGAGAGTAAACCATTTTTGCTATAGAATTACAACCATTGTTATCTCCTGATCACAAATGAATACCAGATGCTTACCGTTTCCACTATCGAGTCGAATATTGTAGACAACGAGTGAAATATTTATTAAATTATACCTATCAAAACTTAATCTTGGAAATAAAGGCAAATTTAAGTTTAGGCTGGGGACCAATGAAGAAAACAAAACTAGGTACTTATTTGAACTATTTCTTTTATTTGAAAATCTTGCAAGATGCTACAGAATACAAAAATATTTAACAAACATTGCAAGTATTTCAATAATAGTTTAGTATCAGGTGTAAAAGTTATTAAAAAATAAATGAGACACTTAATTCAAAAAAAATTACCTAACATTTGAAAATCCTTGAAAAAAAACATATATTGCAAGCAGTTATTTTAATAATAGTATTAGGGGTACAAATTATAAGAATTGAATAACATTTTGTTCAAATACAATCTTCAGGACATTAACAAATACAAAGAATATATAACATTTAATTCAAAGAAAACTACTTATTATTAAAATATCTTTAGGATACTAGACAGGTACGGACTTTTTAACACAGAAGGTATATCTTACAATGAGTTTAACAAAGTTTAATAGGAACATGCAGGTAACAAAGAGAGACCACTGTCAGAAAGCATCGATATGGGTCCAACTTATGTTCTTTTCACTACATACATCGACACAAATTTAGATGCTACGAGTGACAGGAGTCTCTGCCTGATATTCGCAGGTTCCTAATTCAAATTGTTTTATTGTTGAAAAATACATCGTATTGACAAAGACAGAAAACAAATATATACATATTTAAAAAAATGTGTACATACTAATATAAATGTATATTGTACCCAGATACAAACAACCGATTGCAACAATATTCATTAAAATTTATAGGTACGACAAACTTTGACAGAGTTTGAGAATGTGATTTGTCTTAATGATATGAACATCAAATTACGTTCAGTCTAATAAAATTATACGATCATTAGATATTGAAAGATATATATAAGTGTTCTTCCAACTGGGTGTCAATTACAATATAGAATTACAAAATATATAAAAATATAATTATTTGTATGAATTGTATTAAATTTAAAACTGGCTGATTGGCTAAGGATCTATATATATTTTTTATTATAATTTATAGATACTGTAAAATAGAAGGTTAGATTTTTTATTTAAAATTGTACAATATTTATTGTATTATCTAAATTGGGCTTTTTTTCTTTATTTTGGACATATCGAGAGCCACAATGCAGGACCTCGTAACTAACATTGCCACTGAAAATTATATTTTATGATAATCTCGTTTAAAAGATTCCACTCCATCTACTGTATAAATGAAGTATGTATTAAAATTTTTGAACAAAATATGGTTAAATTTTAGTCCCATTATAGAGTAAAATGGATTGTTCTATGCACTTGTGAATCTTTTTTTTTTTATCTCTTGAAAAATTTTGATTTTGCGACTTACGAGGTCTAGCCTTGTTGCCTTCGATATGTTGTTTACAGTCGTCAAAAGTAATTGTAAAATATATAAAAATATTAAGGTATAAATAAGTAAATTACATACAACTTAATTATATTATTTTTGAAAGAACTCTCGATCATTGCCTGATTAGAAATACGTCTTGTATTAGAAAAGTATTACATTTTTTTAACTATTATGCTTTATAAATTTTTTTATTGAGCTAGAATATACATTGGTCTACTTATTATAAGGTATACTTTCCCTTTTAAAAATTCTATAGCAGTATATGAAATACAAAACATACACAACATATTACAAGTAGATATTTTGATAAGAGTATCAGGTGTACAAATTATAACAACTACATGCCATTTATTGACATTTAATTCTAATAAAACTACCTATTTGAAAACATTAACGACACAGTAAAAATGTTCCAGCATTGATACTTATCATATTTCTCTTCTTTAACACAGGTAGAACTTGCTAAGGGAATGAGTGTAACATTGCATCATTTATACGTCTGCTGTCTTTTTTGATATCTGTACCACATTTAGTTTGTTTAGATATCTGCATTTCTGTCTTCTTTACTGTATTTCTGCAATTAAAAAAAATCACTATTTAACAGATATTTACATGGAAAGATTTAAGATTATTAAATTTGCATGCTTATAGCTGTGCTTGTTTATCATCATATAGGATGCATCTGATGAAATGTGAATTTTTATCACGTAACAGAAGATTAGGGTTAAATGTAGATGTAATAAAGAAACACTCTAGACCTACTAGCCATGTGGTAAAAATGACAATGACAAGTTTTATACTTTTTGTGTTTGACCTTTGAGTCATTATAATATGAATACAAAAGTAGTTGTCGTTGTAATTTTTCTTATGATTATTTACTTTAAAAATATTTTTTGAATTAAAATACCTACTCTCTAGTTACTGATGGTTAGCGATACCTATATTATAGAAAAAATCTAAATTTGAAAACTTAACAAAAATCAAACAAATGATCACTTTTATATTCATGAGCATATATGGCTAGCATAAACAAAGGATAAATCGATAAACCTGTAACTGAACCTGGCATGGAACGAATCCAACAACAAAAAATGTCAGGTTTGACAATCCTCAAAATATCATTTTAAATAAAGAAAATATAAACAAACGCAGATGTAGTAGATGTGAACAAACAAATAATAATGCTCCAGAGGTAAAAAATGTGCATATTCAAATGCAAGCATATGAAACGAATAGTACATGACATTCAATCAAGTCACTTAAACATAAGAATGAATTCTTTTGTTTCGTTTTCAATAATTTCTATTGGGAGATCATCTCCACTATCTAAATTGCTTAAAATTCTGTAAAACAGTGGTATAATATAGACTGCATAGGCATTATGTTTAAATGAAGTATAAATAAACCTACCTAGCCTCCTTTGCATGAACTTCTGTAGCATGTTCTCTTTTTGATTACTTGGCAAAAATTAAGTAGCAGTAGCATTCCTTCTAATCACAGTTTTATCACTGACTAAAATTCAAAATGCTTCGAACATATTTTAAAATTTTCTTTGTGTGATCTTCCAATACTTTTTATCTAACCTAAAACAGATAAAAATTAATAAATATAATTTATAACTACATGCTGGTTATGAAACACATTTAATCTGGTAACTTACACATTAATGAATGATTTTGGTTAGTTTTCAATAATTTCTTTTGGTAGATCTTCTAAAGCCAGCACTATTAGAACTGCTTAAAATTCTATTAAAAAATGGTTTGAAAAGTTTACTAAAAAAAAGAAGGCTTCATTATAAATAGTGTTAGCACGCATATAGGGTATTACCTATATTTAAATGAAATAGAAATAAAACTTACCTAGCATCCTTTGGTGACATTTTCTGTTCATGAGCTTCTGGAACATGTTCTTTTTTTTATTACTTGGCCAAAATAAAGTAGGAGTGGCATTCTTTTTAATCACAGTTTTATCACTGACTAAAATTCAAAATAAGAAATGCTTGAACGATTTTGAAATATTTCCTTGGCATACATTTTCTTTATAGGAGCTTCCATTACATTAAGCCTTTTTTTTCTAACCTAAAAGACAAATAAAAACGAATAATTATATATAACTAGACAAGGTTTTTATTAGAACCCCAGTATGGATACTGGGCTAGAACAATAATTAAATACCTAATTGATTCATCCAAAAATAATTGTTAAATACGGGTCTGTATTGGTGTTAAAAACTTACTTATGACAAGTTCTTCGGAATTATTTCATCGGTTTGGACAGAATAAAACTAAACATGTTTTAACCATTGTTTATAGAAGTCTTTAGGACGTCTTTAGGGATCAAAATAACTTTCCAAAACTCACAAAAACTTTAAAAATCGTACAAAAATTGCTAAAAATTACAACAATCACAAGACAACTAAATGTCAAATGTCACAATATTCTAACTAATGCGCAGACTCAAATCCTCCCCCGCATTTACGCTATCGTAAACGTTTTTGCTTGCCACCCGGGCAGCCATTTTCCTATCTCCCCTCTTCATGTCTATGTTGTACAATCGAAAGTAAAAGTGTACAATTTTGACACTGAAAGTTGTACAATTCAAAAAGCCCTAGGAACAACACTAGGCGAGTTCGGTCCATAGAAAAACTGCATTTTTGCTTTATTATAGCGATATTCGCTATAATAAAGCAAAAATGCAATTTGTGTGAACAAATCTTAATTTGGCTAACAGTTTTTAATGCGGATAATTTTTACTGTCAAATTTGAATAGCCCCGCGATTTTCTTCTCTTCTTCTTTTTATTATTTTCTCTTCTTTCATGTGGCCTCTTACCAGACAAGGACTTAATTGAAAAAAATCAACCACGTCCACCAGGTGCCGCTAAAAACTCTATCATCCTTTTTTAACATGGGAGATACCGTTCTAAGAGTAAGTGTTCTGTGAATACCTGTCCTCTACAGAAAAACGAGGCCATATGTCCGTAGAGCAAGAGCCTACAAAAATCTAGAATAAAAGTTAAGCCTTTACCTCCTCAGTTTTTCATGAGCCGCATAGATTAATATACATTTTTGTATAAATATGAGTTAGTTATAATATAAACATGTAAAATAGATCAAAATAAATTTAGGAGGTCAATTTAATTTTATTAAATATTTTTAATCATGAAAAAATACGAGTAGTTCCCTATTTGCGTATTTAAAAAGAAGAATAATTACTTGATAAATTTATGGCGGGTAAATACTAGTTTTTACTTGTCAGAATGTCATAATACGGACGCTGAGCTGAACGTTAAAAAAATATTTTTTAAACAATAAGTTTTTTTACTCTCCAGAAATAAAAGCAACGAAAAAAATCGTACGAACGATTTAAATAAGTAAAATAGTCTTATATAACATTTTTACTTTTATTTTCGTGTTATAATCATGGCTAAAGTACAATTGTGCAATATCACAGTTATGGACAATCCCAGCCCTTTCTTGAACCCCTTTCAGTTTGAAATAACTTTTGAATGCATAGAGGAATTAAAAGAAGGTAAGTTTGTCTTCCAAAAATTGATCAAATTTAAATTATTTTATTTAAGATTTAGAATGGAAGATGATTTACGTAGGCTCTGCAGAAAGCGAAGAACACGACCAAATATTAGATTCAGTTTTTGTAGGACCTATTCCGGAAGGAAAGCATATGTTCGTATTTCAAGTATGTGCAGTTTTATTAACATTATAGTAGTTTCCAACTATCTATTATGCAGAACATTTTCTAAATTTAATTCTTATATCATACATTACATTTTATTTAAATTTGTAGGCAGATCCTCCTAATGTTTCTCGCATACCAGAAAATGATGCCATTGGCGTTACAGTAGTGTTGTTGACCTGTTCATATAGGGGACAAGAGTTTATTCGAGTAGGATATTTTATTAATAATGAATATAGTGACCCAGAAATGAGGGAGAACTCACCCAGTCCTCCTCAATTTGATAAGGTAAGAAAGTTTTTCAGTATAAAAATAGGGAATTTTAATAAGAAACACAATTTTAAATGGATAAAAATATTTTATTACATAATGCCCAACCATAAAAAAATGTATTATAGTGGTAGAATAGCTTTGGATAAAATTATCCATCAGTACCCCCTACTAAAATATGTATAAACAAATACAAAAACATTCAACCTAATATTCCAAAGTGTCCCTGGTTCAAAAACGAAATAAATAGGTCTTTTATCCAAGTTATTTGTCGTATGAGAAGTAATCATGCTATGCATCCTGCCTACAAGGAAAAATTTGTTCTATCAGATAATACTTTATGTTTAATTTGTGATGAAATTGCTGATCTCAATCATATAATTTTAGAGTGTGTCCTAAATTCACTAGATACTGACACAATGTACTTAGAATTAGTTAATATTGGTATACCTCTACCAATAAACATTGATGTTCTCCTTTCATTAAACGATGTTAAAGTTTATAAAATATTGTATGAATTTGTTAAAAAAAACTAATACAAGATTGTAAGTAGCTGAGCTACCCTAAAAATATTGTTAACCTGAAACGAAAAAATAAAATAAATGATAAAACAAAAAAATGAAATCAAGGAAAAAAAAACAAAAAATAATACAAAACAAAAAAAATAAAAAATAATCAAAAATACATATAATAAAAAATAGATATTTTTTATAATTAATTACAAACTCAGGTATTTTGATAGCTGTAAGTCAAAATATAATAATAATAATAATGTAATCATGTAACAATAGTGGATAAAACAATTAAAGAATTATGGATTACTACAATAGTCTGACCTTTTGGTTTTATCCAGTGCCATAAAAAAAACAAAAAAAAAATGTAAATTATTTGAATAAACAATAGTTTTTATTTTGTTTGTCAATTGCATGATTGGGCAATTGCATTTTTCATTTAATTTGTTTCCTTATAAAAAAGGTTTCATAATAAGAATTTTGAAATAATATGGAGTAATCCACAAAAAATGTTTCCAAAGTAGGAAAAATTTAATGTTGGTGCTTACAATTCTTCTTTTTAAGTGTCAGTTTGGATTTAATAGACCTTTTCATCATGTGATGAGCGCAAGCGCAGCCACCATGTTGAAATAGCAGTAATTCAAAAGTTTCATACTGTTTTCATCGACAATGGCTGGGAAAGCAATATTATCTCTACAGAAAAATTAATAATTAGAAAAAATTGTTGATGGTGATTAACTTTTTCATAACTCTGTAGAAGCGCATAGTTGTGAGCAGTTGAAAAGGTGGTTGAAGTGTCTTGGACATTTGCTTCAAACGAAAAAAGTGGACTAATTGAGAGGTTAGGTGTATCAATACTTCTTAACTGTGTACAAAATTAATGAAAACAAATAATAACTATAATCCTATTCTAATTAATTATGTGAACCAACTATTAGTACTTGCAAAAACACTTTAATTGACATGAAAGTTAATCACTAGTATAATTAATAAAATAAATTATTTAATATTTTGTGGATCAACATGACATTTTTAATCATATTTCTGTGTATACCGAAGTAGTATTTAATATTAAAAAAATATTGTTTAATACCAGATAATAATTTTCTTCTGTTGGGCCACTTTCCCCATTAAAATGTAATGAACAATAAATATAAGAATCTTTAGTAACATCATCAATCCTTGGAAAACCCTTGTCACTTCGACCACATTTTTTCACACCTAATGCACATTTCGAACATGTTTTAATATGGATTTTGCCTGATAATTTGATAATTTTTTACGATATTGCAGCCAAGGCTTTGGATAATTTATAAAATAATATGTATTGCTTTTGAATGATTTATACCCTGTGTCAATTTTACATACTCCATAACAACACCGTTTCGTTGTTTCTTTCTGTACAGATAACATAATTATAATTTATTGCAAAAATGTATTTTTCAATTAAGACACTAAAATTATTATTACTTTGCTTTTTCTTTTTTTTTTTAATGAATATACTTAAATTAATATTTATCGATAATTTTTTTCACGTGGGCATTTTAACATTCTTGTTTACAAAAACAGTATGAAAAAGATGGCTGATACTGACGCATGCGCACAAAAAAAAAAATGTGATAAAAAGGTCTATTCAGAATCTTGTGTAGTTCTGACAGACATGACTCGTATTTGTTTGTCATGGCCTACTTTAGAAATTTTTTTGTGAATCACTCTGGTACTTATGGAATCACAGCAGTATTCTCTCTCATGATTTTTAGGTATTGTAGCCTTTACAGATTGACAGAAATAGCTAAAACCACTAATGTCTTATGTCATTTGAAGCAATCCTTCTCTGCTTCTGGTCTAACATTAGTGTTTCTTGTTTCTTTTTCTATTTATGCCAATCTGTAATACTAAAATCATTTGAACCAAATACTATACAAACATTTCAAAACTATCTTCTTATATCTAATTTTAGGTCATGAGGAACATCCTGGCATCTGAGCCCAGAGTTACACGTTTCAAAATCAACTGGGAAGAAACCAATCCACAAGAAAATGGGACCCAAAATGCAGAAACCACTGCCCAAACATCTGAGATCTCGACTCCCATAGAAGTTCCTGCTTTCAATGAAAACTCAAATTCTTGGGCCACAATGGAGTGTTCATAATAATTGGTGTATATGATCTCATAAAGCACCTGTTTGCACCGAAATGTTTCTTATTTATATCTAAATTTCAGTGTTCTTACAATTAAGTTACTTTTATCAAGAGGCCAATGCCAGCAGGTCAACATTTGACAGTTTTTAATATTTTGTACAGAGCTGAATACATTTTATTTTGTTTAAAAGACTTGAATAAAATAGTACTACAGGTGTTCATATGATAAAATATAAAATATACAAAAATATGTTTGCAATTTTTATGTTAGATGGATTCAGATTTCCTATATTTCATATAAAAGTTCAGGGGGTTTTTTAATAATCACTATAATTTTTTTTGTCAACTTTGAACTTGAGTTATAGATCACACATTACTCTTGTTATGTGTGGTATCATGCCTGTATATTCAAGGTGTTCGGAATTTACTTCATATAGGGCCCAAATGAAGAGCAATTGGTATGCTATTTTTTGGTGTAAATGGATGCTGGTTCTTGTAAATATTTGTAATAGAATTACTTTTTTGCTGAAATATTTAGTTTCCTAGGAATTGTTTTTTTATTTCTATTGTAAGGTTTTTACATTATTAAAATGTTTGTATACAAAATTCGTTTATATTTTTTAACTCAATTAAATAGTTGCCAGACTAAATAATTAATCTCATTTCTATATTAATACATTTCATGTGATAACAAAATGGTTATATACTATACAGTAAGATAAGTACACGTATAATTATCCACGGAAGTATTACAAATACTTATTTGTGGTAAATATTTATAAAATAAATAGAACAAATTTAACTATAATTAGAAACAAATTTAATTAAGCTTTTGTTGTAACATATGTTTAGGTATATATTTTTATATACAATGCAAAGATATAAATCTAAGTAAATGATTTCTATTTATTTTTATAATGGTACACCCTGGTTACTAGTAAAATCCACTATGTCCTCTTAAGAATTATATACCTAACCTTATTTTTAAATTATTTTCATATTTATTAAGTTCATAATAGCATTATTTTGTTAAGGAGAAATACATGAAGTGATCTAATGGATTTTTCATCAAATCTGACTTAAGTGTTTTGCTTGCATGCCTACTACTTGATGTGCACCAGTTATGTCACTTTGCTGATACCCTTTCCGAACCAATAATGCCATGTGATTCAACCAAACTTGATGTGTAGAATTTTTTATGTTTATGTCTCAAAAATCCTACAATTTATTTAGAATTTTTATGTCAAGCACTCTATGTGATTATCCGATCTAAGATTATTCTATATGTACAGGGTGGCCAGATGATGACAAACGGCCGTTATAAGGAGCTGTATTAATATTGACAACAAACGCTCGGGCCTGTATATTCTTGATTTAGGTGCGACACCTTCGTATTATATCCTCAACTATTATACGGCATTCTCCTTTCCACAGTAATTTTAACCATTATAATTTAAATAGTATGATATTGAAAACGTAAATTTTTCTATGATCTCTATCCAAAGTAGGCTTTTGCGCTTCGAAATTCAACCGCAAAGTTGACGTTTTCCGCGAACTGACATTTAAGTGACATCTTTGTTACTCCCTTAATTTAAATTAGCTAAAATAAATGATTTTCAAGTTATTTGTACTTAGTTACATGTTTTTTTCATTATATTATCGAAGTTAATATGGACTGAATATCAACAGCTTTTTTTGATTAACGTAGGTATAGGCAACACATTTTACACTACTTACGACAAAATTTTCAGTTTTTATATCTGTCTTAAAAAAAGTGTGATCGTATAAAAAAAATCGTACCATTTTGAGCGAAAAGTTTGTTGTCGCTTTCTGTCTCAAGCGGCAAAGTATCACTTTTCGCTCTTAATACACATATAGCTATTATGAAGAATTCATTAATATTTTTTTTTTTTTGGTGTGTCATCGGCTTCAACTGCTAAGGTTATTTCGCCTCGTCTTCTGTGTAGGCTTTGTTACTGTTTCCCAGCGCCACTTTAGGAACAGCACTGTTAATTAGAACCCAACAGTGAATGGTCGAGTGAATTCACTAATATTATTGTTCATTTTGGTAATTTGATCTTAGCGCCCTCCAGCGGGATAAAAATGTGTTACGATTGTAAAGTGTACACTTCATTTGAAAGCTAATTGCATTATACATTGATAGATATACTGGGATTATACTCTAGGTATACCAAAAATTTATGTTTCTGGATGATTGTGATTAAAGTTTGTATTTTTCAATGTTAGAGCTCTGCAGGTTTTTCAATTATTTAAGTTCTTTGTTCATTCGATGCCCACCTTCTCCAAGAGGCTCTGAGAGAGATGGAGGCCGAAACACCAAACAATAACAATGCTTTGGAGAAGTACTCAAACACTATCCAAAGCACAATAAACAATGCCTATAAGAAATCCTGTCCCCTGAGACTGGTCCAACACGATCAGACAACTACCGCATGGTGGTGTCACGAGTTGGATCACCTCAGGAAGATGGCTAGGAAATCCTTTAATAAGGCATGATCCACAAAACTCAAAGAGGACTAGGATACTTACAAATCTCACCTCAGAGAATACAAAAAAATCGTCAGACAAAAACAGAGAGATGCATGGAGATCCTACTGCGAAGAAATCGAAGATTTCCCGCAGGCAGCGAGGCTTCAAAAAGCTCTCTCAAAAGATCCACACCGAAGCATTGGTGCGCTAATCAAAGAGGATGGCACGAAAACTGCCAATCTCGAAGATAGCATCAAACTTCTGCTGTCAACACACTTCCCTGACTCGGTCATCACAGACGTGGCCGACTGGGCAGAGGAAGAATACAATCCATCTGTCTATGATTGGCAAACTGCCAAACACATTGTAGACGATGAAAAAATTAGATGGGCAATATCCATGCAGCTTCTCTCCATTTAAATCGCCAGGACCTGACGGTATCTATCCAGCCCTACTTCAGTGGGGTTTGGAAGAACTCATACCGCACCTGGTGGGTATATTTAGATCCTCGTTGGCTCTGAGGTATATCCCCAAAAAATGGAGAGAGGTAAAAGTGGTATTTATACCCAAACCTGGAAGGATGGATTACACTGTCCCAAAAACATACCGACCAATTAGTCTGACATCGTTTTCCATGAAGACATTGGAAAGACTATGCGAAAGGTACATAAGGGATGCGGTGATTACAACACCACTACACCCAAACCAACATGCATACACCCCAGGCAGATCTACTGATTCAGTCCTTCATCTAGTTGCTGGCCGGATAGAAAGATCCCTGGACAATAAGGAGTCCGCCTTGGGTGTTTTCATAGACATAGAAGGTGCTTTTGATAAAACCACCTTCCCAAAGATAATACACTCGCTAACCAACAGGAATGTTCCACAAATGGTTAGTGGGTGGATACATAACATGCTCTCAAAGCGAGCAGTAAACATAAGTGTAGAAGATGTTAATATAAGAGGCTTTTGGTTGCGAGGGGATGTCCACAGGGAGGGGTGCTATCACCTCTACTGTGGAATATGGTCCTCGACACCCTCATCAGCTGCCTCAATAATGACAGTCACTACACAATCGCATATGCAGATGACCTGTTCATTCTGCAAACAGGGAATTTTGAGAACATACTCTGCGAAATAATGCAAGTAGCTCTAAAAATTATAGAACAGTGGTGCAAGAACCATTCACTATCAATCCTAAGAAGACAGAAATGGTCCTTTTCACAAGGAAAAGGATGAAAATGGAATTAAAACCTCCAGAACTCCTAAACACAAAACTAAACTTTGCGACAGAGGTGAAGTACCTAGGTCTCACCTTTGACAGCAAGTTAACATGGAACTCGCATTTAGAAAACAGAGTTAAAAGAGCATACATTGCTTATGAACAACGCCGCCGTACTGTGGGACGCACCTGGGGTTTCTCCCCTAGAGTCGTCGCATGGACTTACACGGCTATCATAAGACCTATGCTAACATACGGTGCAGTTGTTCGGGTACCGAAAACCCAAAAATTAACAGCTATCCGTAAACTAGAACAAATTCAAAGAACAGCATGTCTCAACATAACAGGAGCCATGAAAACAACACCGACTAGAGCGATGGAAGTCATTCTTAGTCTCACTCCCCTTGATATTTACATCAAGGAGGTTGCTCTGACGACAATGACACGCCTCCGCACGGTCGGAATAGAACCTGATGTAGGATCTGGTGAGGCGAGACGTCACTCTTGGCAGGAGGCGCTCGATACGCTCCCACTGCTTCAAGCGAACATGGACTCCATCTCACCGATATTCTCGTATATCTTCCATAAGCCATATAAAGTTATAATACAACAAATAGAAGAGCCAGAAGTGGCAGGTACGATTCATATCTACACCGACGGTTCTAAAACAAAACAAGGCTCGATCAGGATGCGGAATATACTCCAGATTCTTAAACCTAAACATAAAATGGGCTGTGAGCAATAGTGCCAGTGTAGTTCAAACAGAGCTAACTGGGATTCTCATAGCAGCAAAAGAAATAACCAGAAATAATATCACTGGAAGGAACATGCTCATCTATACAGATAGCAGACAAGCACTACTCACCCTGAACAGACCACGAATTTATTCAAGGTTAGTACTAGAATGTCATGAAGCTTTGGCCGAAGTATCCATCAACAACCCAGACAACACACCAAATCCCAGAGATATCCACAGAATATCTTTTGTGGATATCCAATATATCCACAGGATATCAGAAATATTCCGTGGATTTAATATGGATATCCAAATGTCCGTCTATATCCAGAATATAGAAGATATCCTAATGGATATCCAGCAAAATATCTAATGGGTATCTTCCAGAAAATACAAGAAGTCCCAAAGATATCCACAGAATATAGTTTGTGGATATTCAATATATCCAAAATATGGATATCCAACCAAATGTCCGTCTATATCCCAGGATATAGAAGATATTCGGATATTCAGCAACATATTTTATCTTTAGTAGAGGTTCATAAGTAACCAATGATTATTGAATAACGTCGAA